AACTGTAAATCATTTAGAGATTATATTAGGTATATTATGCTGTAACTCTAAGGTTCAGGAAAAAAATGTGTAGAATACCGATGCATTCAAAAGTCATAGTGCTATTAAAATCTTATCTGGAAATAAAATTTTCAAGATATCTAAATAATGTATTTAAACTGTCATACATAAACATTCTCACAGTTTTCATGTTTTTTAATCTCTAGGTGAATCTGTAGGTCTTTCATATGTAAATTTGACCCAAAATTTCATCTGTACGTTTGATCCAATATAGAAGAGAAAAACAAACAAGCAATCCTGGACGGCACTTGGTAAACTTTCAACCTATATGATGAATGAATCTCTAATGTCCACTAGGTCTAAGGTGTACATTAGAGCAATTATACTCTTCAGTTTGGGGACATGTATCAAAAGTGTAGGTAGTATATACTGGGGGATGAGAAAGAGATACTATCCACTTGAGCTCCCACATTTGCCTACATGGTATGTGCATAATCCTTTGTTCTTACTCTGACTGTGGAGGTACACACCATTCAACTAAATTGTGCACTCTCACATGGTACACCTACAGAGAGCCAAGAGCCTTTTTTCCCTTAACACAGAAGTACCATCATCAAAACATAGGCCAGTGGCTATTCTTTTTTTCTAGCCATATAGTCCATTTTCAGATTTGTTGACTCTTATTCTAGTTTTCATTTACATTATGATTTGTTCTCTTCTTTCTGTTAAAAGCAGAAGTATGCTTATGACTTGGAGCTTTAGTCTCTTTCTAAACATTTATTTTGACATTCTGATTTTGTATGTCCTTCCACCTACTGATGACTAAATTGTAAGTTTCTTGAAGAAAGGGTCAAATATTTTATACACACACATATACACACATATATTCATGCATACTTATACATACGTACATATAACATTGAACAAAGTGACTGGAATATATTAAGTCCATAGGAAATATTTGATGTACTAAATATTTCAATAGTTAAAAATAATATAGTATGTAATGTGCCTAGAATCAACATCTCTAATTCTTTCTTCCACTCTCTCAATTTTTTTTGTAATTTTCTTCATCCTTTATTCCTATCTCTTACTTGTATATACATCACAATTAGTTACCACATTATTTTATTAATTCCTGCATTACAATTCTTGTATCTATCTCTTCCTTCCCATTTCCTGTTAATTCCAAACCCTGGCCCTATCTACCTCTGCCTGCAATGCCATTAGTGGCTCTCAGCTTCCTTTTCTGTTAGATATCCCACAAAAACTTCAATCCTTATGGCATGTAAATGAAAAATCAATCCTTCTAAAGAACCACTCTAATTACCTTACTTCCCTGAGAAAGGCATTCAGGAGCTTCATTCTCTGCATAACATCAGTCTTAGTCTTCTCAGTCTCACCCTCAAGATCCTGGATTATCTAACGCACTGGTGGTATGCAAACGGAAGACTATTGCAGAAGACTATCAAACACAGTCCAGTATTTCAAACAGGCTCATAGATGTTCAGTTCCACATACAGTACTCCCCTCACTGTTAGCATATTTTTCCAAACTACTTCCTAGCATCTTTTATCCCAATAGTTAATGAATACCCACCATTGAATGAACGAATGAATGAAATGAATGAATATAAAAACAATTATATGGGCACATAGTTGTTTAATTACCCTTTCTTTTCATTTTTTCTAGTGCTGGTATAATGCTAGATTAAGAGACTGGATATGTAATCAGAATCTGTGTATCCAAAGTATGGCCTTGCCACTTTTGTCAATGCAACCTTAATCATGTCCCTTAATTTTTTCATAAATCAGTATTTTTCTTTCTAAAATGGAGATTAGAACAGTGCTCATGCTAGGGTTGTTGGGGGCATAAGGTAATGCAGGCCACTTGAAACAGAACATGCAATACAGTAAGCATTTGGTAAATGTCAGTTACTGTAATTTTTGCTATCCTTCCATGATAACTATCCTCCTTCTATTACATTCTTTTGTATTCATTGACACTTATCAATGTTTTAGTCAAATGGTAGGTAATGAACACAGTATTGAAGATCAGCTGAGAAATGTATTCTGTGTGTAAACAGCAGAGAGCTGATGCCGTGACCTAAGTGTCGGATAGGAACAATCTCTGGAATCATTGTATGATGCTGGGCAGATTAAATGTATGGGGTTTAAGTTTCCTCATAAGCAAAATAGTAACAATAATGCCAACATTAGAG